TAATAATAATAATAATAATAATAATAATAATAATAATCGTTATAATAATAAAATTATTGTCTGTGACGATAGTAATAACGTTAATGTGTGGTGAGATCACAAACTACAAATAGAAATGCAACAATAAATATATCTGTACAGCATTTAGAGTTCAGAATCAAAAAGTAGACTGTCGTCAGCATAACTTAGGTTGATATCCTGCCAAGGATGAACATCGTTTTGTTCAGTGCTGGTCAATCCGGGTACCGTTTCAGAAGCAATAAATGAATCGTTGTTGCCAGTCTGCGAATAGTTATAACATTGTCCTAAACGGAACAAAACAATCTTTATCTGTTTGATAGCTTATGGCTCAATAATATAATGATAAAAGAATAATAATAATAATAATACAATTTCTTTTTCTGTATACATTCAAGCTTTAAAACTATATATATATATATATATATATATATATATATATATATACGATATATATATATATATATATATATATATATATATATATAATCAAATAATCAGCATAGCACGTTAGACCTGTATAAAAGTTAATTAAACAAATAAAAAAAGCAAGTCCTAGCAAAAACTAACCGTTTTCAGATGGTGGAGGAGACCAAGGTGCTGATGTTCTAGATGGTGTTTGCACAGAATCAAATGACGAATAACATGACGTATCCGACAAATTTATGTCCTAAAATTAAAAAAAGAACTTATAATCCGTTGTATTAAAATAAACATTTGTATATTGTACCAATAAGTTCCTTTCCATGCTAAGACTGTTTTCAAAAGTCTTGCTTATTTATCTTGAAAAAATAAATATTAATTTATAAAAAAAAATATAAACTAACAGAATTTAGGTCGACATCAGAGAAAAATGATGCAAATTCTAAATTTGGATCATAATCGTTAGGAAATTCATCTGAAACAATACGCTGATAAAAGTTTACGAAAAAAAGAAATGAAACAAATATTTTTTACTGCTTTGAAGGATAAGAAAAAAAAGAAAATTGAAATGACAATAAAATTTAACTTTTTTAATTTCTTTGCTGTTTTACAAAAAAAATAAAAAAAATAAAAATTGAATTATTTAAAGAATGTTATTAAAAACAAAAAATTAAATTTAAAAAATAAATTTTTTTTTTTTTTGTTAAAAGTGGCAATAAATTTGTAAACTTTTTAAACTTTGTTAGCTATTTTCAATTTACCTGTAAATGATAGATAATCACATTGTGCTGAACTATCATATTGCTCATCTAAAGTTCGACCATTTTCTACACCAATTTCCATTATTTGTGGTGAACTTCGGTTTGACGATGAATTTGACGAACGTGCTAAACCATTTAAGGGTTTTATTATTAATGCTATATAGAAGTAAAAAAAAAAAAAAAAAAAAATTTAAGTTTAAGTTTTCTAATGTTTAGTTTGGTTGTCAGCTGGTTTGAATGAGAAAAAAAAAAAAAAAAATGATAAGTGCAGTGTAATGGCACTACTGATTAAGTTCAGATTTAAATAAATTTGCTTTTTTTTTTTTTTTGCATTTATTACTGCTTTAGCTTCTTAGCATTTGCACTTCTTAGCACTATTAACAGCTGCTTACTACTGTTTACTTATAAATCTGCAAAAGCAGTATTTTTTTTTTTTTTTTTTTTTT